AGGGATGGAGCCAAATCCACCCACCCCCCAGCCCCGGAGCTGCAAAACCACCGCAGCTCCTCGCTATGGTGTGAAAGATAGGCAGCCACCATATGGCAACAATAAAAAATAGCTCCTACAGCACCAGCTCCTGAAATATAACACACGGGTCGTCACAGGCTCGTGTTCTCCTGCAAAGTTGTGTCCAGTGCAGGGGCTGGAGGCAAGTGAGAGGGCACGGGCAATGACAAAATGAGGAGAAATGCTGGAATTATGAAGCAAAAACCTGAAGGACATGGAATGCTGTGCACAGAGGAGTAACACGCTGCTGGTTTACATGGAGGACATCAAGGATGCTGTGATAAGATGTTTTGCAGAGCCATCGTCCAGCTCCCCGAAACCCCCGTCCTCCAAAAAGCCAGCGAGCAGGTGGGAGCATCCACTTGTGCTGCCGGACCACAGCCAGGGGTGACACCGAGCCAGTCCCCTCTCCAGCTTTCTCTGCAGACAACACTCTTTTTTTCATTTTTATAACCTTTTTTTACATCCATAAGACCCCCTGAGACCTCCCAGGCTTTTCCCAAGAGTATTATTAGCCAGGAGCTCGTCAGGACATCAGCAACAGGGAATGAATGGACCATTAGGAGGAAGAACACGATCAGTGTGTCTTACCAAATAAAGTCAGTCTGTTATTTACATTATCAAGCCAATCACATGAAATAAATACAGTCATTGTCACCATACTGCTGGAGGGGGGCTCAGACCACCCCCAGGCAGATGAATTCCCCCAAAATTAGGAGGAGGAAGGTAACAGAGCACAGCTGCCAGCACCAGCAAAGGCACCTTCTGTTTTTTCTCTCCTCTCCTGGTGCTGCCAAACCATTAGCAGCAAAATAGCGTTTTAAAGAAGGCTGGGATTTCCCCACCCAGAGGGGACGCCAGCAGCGCACTCACCATCCAGCAGCCAGTGCTGCTCTCGTCGCTTCTCCAGCTCCGTCATCATCACGCGCGTGATGACGTGGTCCGGCACCAGAAGGCCTCGCTCAAGGTATTGCTTTGCCAAGACGCCAATTTCTGTTCAAGAAAGGAAAAAAAAAAAAAAAGGTAAAAAAAGCATGACATTTCTGCTTAAAATAATATCGCTCCTTTGGTTTTGGAGAAGGCACCAGGTGGTTACAGGAGACACCTGCGTGGATATTAAATGTCATGAAGACACTGAACCAGCTGGAAGGGATGCAGCCAACCTCCACCCACCTCCAACGGTGGGACGGTCACTCCATCCCGGACCGCAGATCTGGCCAACATCCCGCTGCCTGGCTCACGGCTCGATGTAAAGCAATAGCAGTGCCAGACCCAGGATGCTAATAACGCCTGTTCCCATGTGCACGAGGCCACAGCTGCAAATTCCGGTGCTGCAGAGGAGGTTTCCAGTAAAGCCACGAGGACCAACGATGCACTTAAGCGATACCTGCAGATCCAGCAGCGTTTGGCTCCCAAGCACAAAATTTCCACGTACAAGTCAGGAAAAGCCAGTGTCAACATTTATAAACGATCTGAAGAGGTGCAAATTCACCGTCGCACGTGTGAAACGTGGCACTAAACAGCAAGCTGATGCGAAACCCAAACCTCAAAGGGTCTGTTAAATCGCTGCTAAAAGCAGAAGGCGGCTTCGCATCCAAAGGGCTTCCAGACTTCAGAGCCTCAACTTAAGATATGCTCAGATAAGAAAATTATTTCCAAGATCAAATCCCTGAGAAGATAATTGCAGTGTAACTGCAGGCAAATAGACCTCATCGGGCTCCCGCCTGGCTCTCCCCCATGTCGCTCAGCTGGAGGAGAAGCCAGCGGGGGTTTCTGCACAGGAAACACCAGCTCTGGATCCACCCAGGCAGCTGCTGCCAGCACATAATGTAATAAGCATTTATTCAGCTTTTATTTTTTTATTGCAGCTGGGTAGAGCAGGTGTTACTTCAAGGAGAGATGCAATTAATTCAGTCGCTTCTTAATTTACGGTTTGCCTGCCATTTGCTTTTAGCCACTCGGAGACACAAAGAAACTTTGGAAAATGCAAATATTTTTTTGCTGCTGTGTGTGACAAGCCCTGATCCCACCACCAGCAGATGTCCAGCCTTTTCCTCTTGGACCAGGACCTGATCGCCACCTCTTCTGCCCTCTTCCCACAGCAGCTGAAATAGCATTTGTCACCAGAAGTGAACAATTTTGCAATCAAGTTTTGCAAGATTGCTGCTGAGGACAGCACATTTGAGCCTTCTCAAAGTATGAGTCCTCTCTAAAAAAAAAAAAAAAAAAAGCCCCAGGATCCTGCATCTGGAGGCAGGTTCTGGTTTTCCAGACTGCAGAAAGATGTCAGACAGGGCGGGTGCGGGCGCCTGGCCGCGGGCTCAACTCCTGAGCTGCAGGAGGGGTTTTTTGCAAGATATACAGTTCCTGGAGAGAGTTCATCCCTGACACAGAGGGAACCTGACGCAGCCTGCATGGATGCTCACCCCGCTGAGCAGCTCTTTACTCGGAGCCACGGTGGAAGAAAAATTCCTTTTTTCAACAAGTTTATTGTCGCTGCCCATACGTGGCCAGTGCTGCTGGCAGCTCTCCTGCTTGGGGAAGCAAAGGACACAGGGATGGAAATAATACGTGATGTCTTACGCAACCAGCACGCAGACCTGCTAGGGCATAAATATTACCTCCGCCTACATTTTTTAATATTATTGACATGGTCTGCACATTGCCACGGGCATGCAGAGAACACAGGGCAGAGCTGCTCCTGGGGCAGAGCCCGGTGGCTGCGCAGGCTGGAGCTGGGCTCGACGCTGCAAACCAAAACCACGCCAGTTGTGAAGTCTGGAAATTCATGCTGCACATTCACCAAGGTCCAGAGCTCTGCGCCACAGAGGCGGCACTTTTCCTACACCCCCCAAACCTGCGCTGCTCCACGATGGATGACTCCCAGGGATCACGCACTGGCACGGGGCAGCAGGGTTTGGGCAGGCCTTCCCAAGCAGGGGGGAAGATCCCGGTGCTGCCACGCAAGGAGCTGGGGCTTGCCCCTACTGCACCCCACAGCGCCGGCCCCAGCACCAAAACCCCCACTGCCACAGCTGGGTGCAGAGGGGGGCTGCGTGCATTGCTCTGCAGTTACTCCAGGTAGTAAGGGGCTCCTTAGCTCGTGCTGGGCTCCGTGCAAGAGCCGGGCTGGTGGGTGCTCCAGGCTGTGCAAAACAGCTCTTGGTTCATGGGCTTAATCCCATTAATCTAACGAGCGTGAGTTTAATCCACCCTTTATCACAGAGGACTTCAGGCTCTCTGCAGCTCCCCCGACATGACCCTGATCTGCGCATCCCTCCTTATCAAAGCAACTCAAAGTTTCAGCCCCGAGGGACATCTCCCACCCCAAGGCCACGAGGAACAAACCAGCCACCCAGGAGAGGCTGGAGGAGAAGCTGTTCCCAAACACGGGGCTTGGCCACCTCCAGACCCAGCACGATAACCCCGGACTTTCTGCCCCACAGTGCAACCTTTTACATGATTATTTTTTTTTAAATCAGGCCACAGCAACACTATCTGGAGTTAACAGAAAGGAGTAATCCCAGGTGGTTAATAGGTCATGTAAAGATATAGGACCCACCCTATGGAAAACCTGTTGCATCTCTTGGGCTCGGCCCTGACGGGCAACTTGGCCAGTGCACAGCTCTGCCCACAAAGACATCGCCCATGGGAAAAGGGGGGAGAAGAACCCTGGGGCTCAGCTGTGCACAGACCACATCCCCCTGGGCTTTTTTTTTTTTCTCACTTTGGTTGATGCTAACTAATGAAATCCATCACGAGGAGGGGACAGGAGCCACTTCAGTCTCCAATGAAGCACATTAAAGGGAGTGGGGGGCCAGGCACGAGCCCCACGTGTCCCTTGGGGGACGCAGACCCTCAGCCAAAGCCACTGGGAAAAGAAATGAAGTTGTATTGGAAATTCACTGGCAGCTCCTGATAAGCCCCTGGGATGTTGCCAACACCGGAGACAACCCCCTGGGTACCGGGGCAAGTACGGGCCAAGGACATCGCTCACCACCCTCCATCACCCCTGCCTAGCACCAAAAACAGTCTCTAATCCTTCCAAGATCTTAAAAAGCCCCTTTTTATACAGCAGAACAGCCGCTCACTAAGAGAAACACTAATTAACAGACAAATGCACGGTAGCGGATGTACTCGTCGGGTCGCTGTAGCAAAACTTCAAGTATTTCAGCAGCAGCCATGCATTCAGCTGCTTCCCCCGCTGCAAAGTGAAATCCTGGTTCCCCAAGAATGCCGACACCGGCAGCGAGCCAGGCACGCTCTCCGCGACGGGCAGCTGGAGGTTCCTCTGGCACTGGAG